ATCTTGCGTGGCAGGTGCTCCCGAGGGGCGCGGGCGGGGCGCGACCGCCTCCTTATCGCAGACACGCAGCCGGGACCCGCAGTGGGGGCGGGGACGGGGATCTCCCTTCGCCCCGCCGCCGGCCCCGCTCCCTCCCGGGCGGGGGCGGCCGAGGCGCAGGCAATTAGCATTTTGATTGCCGGACTGGGGGGCCCATCTGGACCGAAGCCTAATTACCGGGCGAACCCCGGGGCGCCGCGGGCGTGCCAGGCACCGTGGAGTCACCCTGGCCACGGCTTCCTCCCACCCCCGCTCTGCGGCCGGGGCACCCGCAGCCCCGCCCTCAGCCCCTCCCGCCCTTCCTGGCCCTGGCTGTTGTCTCCTGGCGCTGCCTCGCCTCAAGCCCAGCTCCTGGCCGGCCTCTACCTCCTCCTTTTCACTCCTGCTTTTTCTCCTTCCAGCCCTCCTTGCACCCCGAGCTTGCTACCCCTCTCCCCATCAGCTCTGGCACCTCTTGAGACCCTCCTACACACACACACACACACACAGACCCGGCCACATGTCTACGCAGGGCACTCCCAAGGGGCCTTCAGCAGCCCTTGTCCCCGCTGGGGTGGAGCCTGCAGCCCCTGGGGCACCCTGTGGGGAGGGTGGGCTGGAGGGCATCTGCCTGCCCAGGGCGGCCAGTCTCCTGGAGCCCCCCACCCCTCCTTCCCAGCCTCCTGAGTGGGAGAGCGCAGGTGAGGGTTCTCCCACCGGGGCCTTGAGGACTTCAGCCCCCCAGCACCTGGGTGTCCCCCGCCAGAGCTGGAGGCCTGGACACTTTGCTGCAGGAGAGCAGGGCTGCGGGACTGCGGAGCACCCCCGCCGCCTTAGAGGTGCACAGCTCCTCCCAGCCTGGCCCCTGGCTGCTCCTTGGGGCGGCTGCGTTGGGGCCTCCTGCTGCCGCCTGCCAGGGGCAGGTCCCCACCAGGGCTGGCTGCATGCCGGGACCCTGCACCACCCTCGCACCCCTGCGCCCCAGTGGAGTCCAGGGCAGCTACTCTGACCTGCACACTTCCCCTCTGGCAGCCCTGCCTGGCTGCCAGGACCCCACTCAGGCAGCACCCTCTTCGGGCCCAACTCCCTGGCACCGGCCCCAGCATCAAGCAGAGTGAGGCCAGGCGCTGTGTGTACGCGAAGCCGGCCGGACCCGCTGGCTCTGGCCGATGCCCCTGGCACTGTCCAGCCCGGAGCAGACACTAACAGGGAGGCAGTTTGGAGGCCGAGAGAAGGGGCGGCCGGTAGGGAGTGGAGGGTTGTGGACCCAACTGCTCTGGAGAACAGCCCGAGCAAGGGCCTGAAGCCACAGAGGAAGGTGTGGTGCGAGCCCGAGCCCAGAGGGGTGTGAGGGCAGCTGACAGGGCCACGTGGGGTGCTGCCCTGAGGGGCAGGGAGGGCCGCCTGGCTGGGCGAGTGGGGCCAGACACCTGCAGGAGGGCTCCTGCGGCGGCGGGCGCCAGGACACCGAGGGGCCACACCAGCGAGGAAGGGGGAGGGCGCACCTTCTCTGGGCTCTGGGGTGCTGGAGCAGGACTGGGGCACGAGCCGGCCGGTGAGGGGCTGAACTGAGCTGGGCAGAGGGCCGGTTCAGGCAGGAGCAGGAGGCGCCCCAGCCCTGACAGCCAGCACCCAGAGATCCCAGCTGGGCTGGGAACCAGGAGCTGGGCCCCACGCCACCGGGGGCGTGGCGGGAGCCCGGGCCTAGGGTGAAGATGTGGGGTGCGGGCTCGGTGCCCCAGAACTGGCCTGCCCCGAGGAAGGGCTCAAAGCAGCAAGGAGAGCCAGCCTGCTGTGGGGCAGTGCGGGGCCCAGTGGGGGGCCGGGCCCTCTGGGGGGTGGAGGTAGCTAGGGGCGGCCTTGGGATGACGAGGGAGGGGGGAGCACGGGCCCAGGGCCAGTGGGAGCAGCCCAGCAGACCCCTTATTGTGGGTTATTACTGGTACAGGCCAGGGCTGCGGGGTGAGGACGCCCCAGAGACATGGGTAGCAGAACAAGGGAGGAAGCCCACTGCCGGGGGCCTCGGGGCACGGGAGCGTCTGTGGGCCCTGGGGCGGCTCCCTGGCGGTGGCAGAACTCGGGCCACAGCGGCTGTGACGACCCCCGCGGCGTGTGGAGTAGCCCTGTGCGCCGGGGCCCGCTTGGCCCTCTGACCCCCACGCGCTGCCGCTGGGGCCCACCCGCCCTCGCCCCGCCCTGCACACGCTGCGTCTCCTCCCCTGCCTGGGGAGCGAGCGGGACCACAGCTGGCCCCGGCCCAGAGAGCCCAGCTGTGACGGGCAACGGGGCCTGGATGGAAGCCCAGGAGCGGGCAGCGGGTGCCGGGACCCCCACGCCAGGGACGCCGGCGGGGGATGGCTCCGCACGTGGCTCTGACGCCCTCTTTCCTGCTAACAAGCTGCCATTCAGAACGTGTCTCAGGTCACAGGAAAGTGGCAAGGTGACGCCTGACCTCTGGACGGGTCCCTCATCCGACCCGACCCGGCAGCCTCACAGCCCACTGCCAGCGCGCTCCCCCCCGCCCCGCCCCGCGGGAGGGGTGGCTCAGGGCCGCGTGTCCCCAGTGCCCCACAGGGCTGAGGCCTGCTGGGCCCCTCTGGCCCAGTCTCCCCTGGGAAGTCAGGGTTCCTCTCTAGGCTCCATTCCTGGAAGCAAATTGTGGGGGGCAGCCCTGCTACACGACGCCCCCTCTAACGCCAGTGCCCTTCCAGGAGCCGTCAGGTGCCCACGGCAGGGAGGGTCCGGCCGCTGCCTCCCGGCCGTCTGGCCTGGGTGCTGGGGGCCCGACAGGCCTCCTCTGTCCCCCGCGCGAGGCCCGAGCCAGGTGATGCACCGCGGGAGACGGGGCTTGGAGGACCGGGGTGGGCTGTGGGCTGGCGATGGGCGCAGGGGAACCCCAGGTGCGACCCCTTGGCACATTGCTGCCCCGTTCTGCACCCCGACTCCCTGGCCTCACACTCCTGACCCCGGGCTCCACACCCCAGAATTGGGGTCACTCCTCCACGACAGGAATGTGAGACTACTGTCTGCTCCCTGCACCTGCTCCTGGGACCCCAGGGCCCTGGCCGCCCCGCCCCGCCCTCCCCTCCCCCCAACGCCCCGCCTCATGGAGCTGGTGGCCATGGCAGGCACGAGTGACCCCCACCCTGGCCCTTCTCCCTGGCACTGTGTCCCTGCGCCACCCAGTGGGTGCACAGCCCGCTCAGTGGCCGCCAGTGGGCAGCAGAGGGCCCGGCGGTGCTGGGGCTGGCCAGGGTGGGAGGGCAGCTCTGGCACTCCCTAACGTTGCACAGGGCCGCGAGCTGCCTGGCCCCGGGAGCAGCGCGGGGGGGTCACCAGCGAGGCCGCCCAGCAGAGCCAGGGGGCTGGGGTGGCCGGCGTCTCCACCCCACTGCTGTGGGAGGGGCCCGGCAGGCCCGAGGGGGCGAGCTGGACCGCGGGGGCGGGGTGTGGCTCCCACTGCCTGGCAGCGGATCCCCGCACCTCTAGGCCATCCCCCAACCTAACCCCAGTGTGCACCCACAGGATCTCGGGGTGCACACTGGGGGCACCCTCAGCAGAGCCCCAGGCCCCAGGGAAGACGGACACTGGGAGCCAGAGGCGACTTTATGGGGGGCTGGGGAAGGGGAGGGGCCTGGGCGGGCAAGCCCCGCTTCACAGGTACAGGTGTGACTGGGAACCCCGCTGGGTGCGGTAGGTTCTGTTCCTGCGCAGCACGATGCCGGGGCTGAAGGTGGCCCCCAGCGGCCAGTGGCGCACCACGTGGCGGTAGGACGTGGCCAGGTGGTCGAAGTAGTTGATGTTGAGCTTCCGCGCGATGTGCCTGCCCAGGAACTCCACCTGCTGTGGCGGGGCCGGCTCTGGGGCGGGGAGGGTGGCAGGGACCCCGTGCCCGCCGGGCTCCGGGCCCATGGCCGCCAGGCCCCCAGAGGCGGCCGGCCATCTGCTGGGGGCGGCCTACCTCGTAGCGCTCGGACAGCTGCACCAGCACCAGCGGCTCCAGCTTGTGGCCGCACAGGACCAGCTGGAAGAAGCACCGCCCGTAGGCTGCGGGC